CACGCAGGGGCCAGCCAGGGGCAGTACGTCGTCTGGACGAGCGCAGGTGCCTGCAGCCCCCCGCTGCCTCCTGACTGCTTGTCTTGCTTCCCCTTCCTCCATCACCACCACCTCTTCCGCCCGCGCCTGGATCCTGGAAGAACGTCCTCAGTAGTTGTCAAATCCATCGCCACGTCCGCGGCCCGACCCTTGGCACCTCGTCTGCTCTTTGCCGTCACTTGATGAGAGGCAAGGCCACCGCCACAACCCCGTCTCGCTCCGATCCTAACGCACCGTCCCCTTCGACCGTATTGAAGGCGCCGGCTTTCTCGTCGGACGCGCAAACGACCATGGCCGTCGCCAGCGAAGGTCAGCCCGGGGCGTCAAACTCTGCAGCTGATGTCGCCGCAGTCTCGTTGTTGCAGCCTCACCCGGCCCGATGGCGGGGCGACGGGCGACGGGCATCGCTCAGCCCGACGGCGACCCGCCGCGAGCCATGATCGAGGAGCTGGAGCGCTTCTCGATTCAGCACACCAAGGTCGCGATCAGGGACATGCGCAACGCCCTCTACGCAGCCTCGAGCGAGATCCGGGGCCGCGATACCGATGTCCTGCATCCTGTACAGGCCATGTCGAGGCTGGGCACGGCCGTTGCCGACTGGATAACCGCCTGCCTGAGACCTGGACCTCACGCCCCCGCATGTCACCGATTGGATCCGCCAGCTGATCAGTGACCATGGCCGAGAGCGTCCCTTGAGAGATCCACCGCAGCTCGAGGCCATCGTGGGGCCGGTGCTGGCTGCTAGCTCTGACGAGACGCTCAGCGCCACTGCACGCTGCCTCTACCGCATCCTGACGCATGGCATGGTTCGTAAGTCGACCCGGTCTGCCCGGCATGGTGCTCGGCGAGCATCTTGACGACCGAGCCTAGATTCTATTCTTCTCCTCTACGGCCTTGGTAGAGTCCGCTTCGTCAGACTTCGCCCCCGCCGAAACGATCCCAAGTCCGGACAGCATCGAGCGCGACTACGCAAAGCCCTTTGATGGCCACGGCGACGAGTACCTCTGCCGCCATAGCGACGCCGTGCGCCAACTGTACGACAAGACCGAACACTACGGCCGCATCGTCCCCATCCTCCAGCCTTGGGCTGTGGAAAAGTCTCGTTCCGTCGACCGGGTCCTCCGCAAGCACCACCCCGGGATCATACTCGCCCTCCGCGCGATGGGAAACGACACAGCGATGCCTGTCCGCGACAGCATCGCCGCAGATCTGCTCGGCTCGCCCCTCTCGCCGCCCGAAGAACTCCTCCTGGTGCCGTTCGAGCCCGAGGATGCATCGACCGGCGTTTCCGGGGCCTCCGATACCGCACCCGCGTCCTCGCCTGATTCGAAGCCTTTGCCCACTCTGCTGCGATCCACGTCCGTGCCGTGACGACGTATGGCGAGCCATTGTCGGCGTGACTGACAACCCAGGCTATCCCCGACGGTTCCACCACCATCTCCACTTCGAGGCGAGCGGACCGACTCCCCCACCACGGCCCGCGCGACGCCAGGCGCTGCTCAAAAGGGGGCTGCGAAGCGCTGCTGCCTCTACCAGCGGTCTCTTTCACCGCCCGACGAGGCGGCATGCCTGGCCTTCGAGGTAGACGCGCGCATGCGTTCCTTCAGATTCTTATTCCTCCAGAGCGCCCGTCGCCGATGCCGTGGCCTCTGGCAAGCTGCGTGACGACGGCTTCTTCGTCCTGGCCTCGGACCAAGCGGCCGAGACCCTCGATCTGCTGCCCGAGCTGCGCAGAGTGTGGCAGGTGATGGGCGTAGGGTCGCACGCCGGCGCGGACCGCCTCTTCCTGCCCCTTCTCTCCACAGATACGGATGTCATCTTGCGCCTCGGACGGGACGTCGCAACATCGGAGTCGGACGGCAGCGGGGGCTAGGGCGACGACCCGACGCTGCTGCCAGTGTTCACCAAGCTGCCGCTCGATGCGGCCTACAATTAGATGGAGGAGTGCGAGAGGGACCCCCATGGCAAGTGCTGGGGTGCCCTGCTCGAGCAGCTTCCCTCCCAGGGCCGGCCGCTGCTGGACGACGAGCACGTCATGTCACGGCACGGACGGGCAGCAGAAGCAAGCTCGATTGCCCCGCCTCCGCCTGATGTGATGTCGAGGTCGTGTCCCATCAAAGCATCGACGGTCACCGTCCGTCGGCGGAATCCGACGCCCCCATCCCGTCGTTGGGGCTCGCATCTGCCCGGCGCTGCAGCGTCCTAGCCTACACACCATCGCTGGGCTTATGCTTGGCCCTGTTTCCCGCCTCTTGGGTCAGCGAACGTGGACCTCGGACGAGTCACGGCAAGGAGCAGGTGATGACGGAAGCAAGCTTGGCACATCGTACGGTCAGAGGAGGGGGGGGGGGGGGGAGGGAGACCGGAGGCTAGACCTTGGCTGTCAGCGTGTATGCGAAGCTTGAGGCTGTTGTACGGATCCCGATTCGACCTCGTTTTGTCACCACCAACAGCGGATAGCGAGCGTCTCTCCTCCCTCTCGACGAGCGGGCGGAGGCCGGCTGGAAGAGGGAGCGAGCGACGGACAGGTGGTGAACAAGTGGAGAGCCGAGCTCTAAAGAGGCAGGCAGGCCGGTCAAGTCAAGGCAAGGTGGGGTCGGTTCGGGATCTGGGTTCGGGCGGTCGGTAGAAGCACTAGTGCAGACCAGGGGCTAGGGTTGGGTCGGAAGGCGTGGTCGACCAGCTCTCAAAGGCTCGGATGGCATCAGCAGAGGGCTTAATCGAGCCCAGGCTTCCAAAGGGGCAAGCCAAAGTCGGCCCGACCGAGTAGAGAGACGCAGCGCCGGCTCGCTTTCTCCGTCGGAGGCGGTCTTTGCGCTCCTCCTTTGGAGCCTGCCTGCTCGGCTGGCCTTTTGAGCGATAGTCCCCTGGGTGACCATCGACGAAGCCGGCGCCCGCCGAACGAAGAAGAGAAGCGACGGGGAGGAGCGAGGGCGAGAGGGAGGAAGATAGAGAGAGGAGGCCATTACTCTGTCGGTCTCGGCGTGGCGTGGCGTGGCGTGGCATGGCGTGGCGGGGTAGCGTGCGCTTGGCAGCGACAGACCGAGAGACGCCCAGCCCAAACCAGCCTCAGCCTCAGCCTCGCTCGACGCCGAGCGACCATCCATCTGTCTCTCTATCTCTCTCTCTTTTCTCTCTCTCCCTCTCTCTCTCTCTCTTCTGCATCTGCCGTGTGTTTCCCTGGCTGGCTGCGGAGGATCCGACACCTCGAGATGCGACAGACCGACCGGCGGGCAGGAGGGACAGAAGGGCTGGGCTGAGCTCACGCTGAGCCGAGGCGAGGCGAGGCGAGGCGCGGTCTGGACCCTGGCTGGCCTCGCTCGGCACACGACTGCCGGAAGCCCACCAACACCGACAAGCCAAGGCTAGGGCCCAGCTCCCCCGCCCCGCATCAAGTCAGAGCCCAGCCTACGCAGACTGGGACGTGCGACGTGCCGTGGTGTGGCGTGTTCGGTCGAAAAAGCCAGGCAGCAGAGAGGCTGCGTGCGTGCGTGCGTGCGTGTACAGCGGACTGGCAGCATGGCCATGCGTGGCATGCCATGTCTGTCGAGGCTGCACCAGGAGACGAGAGCGAGCGATGGCTGGCGAGCGGCAGAAGGGAGACAAAGAGACAGGGGCTGCCGGCGTGTTCGCTGTTGCTGTCGCGGTCGCTGTGTTGCTCTCATGCGCCCAAGAGAACGCACGCCAGCCGGCCTCCTGCCCTAACGTTGATCCGCCCTGCCTGGCCTTAGCTTCTCCCCCGGCCTGCCCTAGCCTAGCCTAGCCTGGCCTGGCCTGGCCTGCCCTCGCGTCCGAGCGGGCGCCGGCCATCTGCAACAACCAACAACGCCGCCTGCAACGCACCGCAACGCCTTGTTTTGCTCGCTTCACCGAAAAAGTACGTGCGTGGCAGGCGGGCAGACCGGCCGTCGTGCATGGCCGTACGTCGTCCTCGACGTCGTCACATCCGTACGTAGCATGCCGGCGCTCTCGCGCGTCGACTCGTTTGGGCCTGCCTCGTCACATCTCATCTCAACCCGTCACATCACATCGCATCTCTCGCCCTGCGCTGCCTGTCGTTTGCTGGCCGGCCCGTATCCCGTCAGTCGGGTCGCTCGCACGCCCGCCCGCCCGCTCTGTTGCGCTGCCTCGATTTTCGGGCCAGGTCAATTTGGCCTGCCCCTCTGTCCCCCTCGTCACCACCACCACCACCGTCGCCGACCCATCTATCGGGCCTGGTCCCGCTCCCTCGTCGCCATCGTTCCCCCTCCTCCTCCTCTCCTCTCCTCTTCTCTCCTCTCCTCGCCCTCCTCTCCTCCTCCACGTTGCCCTCGCCGCCGCCGCCGCCGCCGCCGCCGCCGCCGCCGCCGTCCGCTGCCCCACATTCGACCCCGCAACGCAACGCAACGCACGCTTCTCCCTCTTGCAGCCAGCATAGCACGCACCTCTTTGCTCCCTCGCAGCCTTCCAACCACGTCTAGCGCTCCTCGTCGACCCACCTACCTGCCCGTCTGCCGCCAGCCTTCGCCGCCCGCCCGCGACGCACCACGGACCTGCCTAGGACAACACTTGCAGCCGCCGTTCCTGACCCGCTGCAGCACTAGCGGCCGCCGCCAACACCACCACCGACACTACTACCACCACCCCGACCAGCCTGATTGCTCATCCCGGTGCTCCGACTTCGACCGCTAGTCAGGCCCTCTTGTTCGACACCGGCCGTCCCCCGGTCGCTTCCCCTCCCTGCACGCCCTCCTGCCTCATCCGGCCGTCCCTTGCGGGGGTCTCGTCCATCGCACCGGTCCTGCCGCGCCCGCCCGTTGAGAATAGCAGCAAGCACGGCGTCGCACACCGACACCACCTCGCACCGCTCCTCGACGTAAATCCCCTACAGCTCGCTGCATGCCCCTGCCACACTAGGATCAACGGACGAGTCATCCTTCCTCCCCGCCTCTCGCCCTCGCCCTCGCACCCCTCGCACGCTGCAGCTGCGCAAGCCAGACGTGCAGCTGCTTTGGCGGGGCTCGCAGCTTGCCGTATCCACGTCCCACGGCGCTGCTCAAAAGTCGCGCACAGACCTTCGTCGCCCTCCATCTTGGCGTGTCTCTGGAAGATTTCGCGCATCAAGCCGACTCGCAGACTCCTCCTGTCTTGGACTCCCTGCCGCGCCGCTTCTCGGCCTCGCACCTCGCAGTCGACTTCTTTTGAAGCCGCGGAGACAGAGCCCGCCCGCTCGCGGTCTCGAGAGGAAGCATCAGCCGACCCGCTAGAGCTTGGGAAGTTGCAGGTCAACGTCCCGCCCGATTGAGGTCAGAAGCTTCTTGGCAGCGCACGCCCTGGTCCAGGCGCATAACGCATCTACAGTATCCGACCGTCCGGAGCTCGCGACCCCAGCATCTGCCGCCGCAACACTTCGAGGTTCATGCGCACTGGCACCGTCCGACTTGGCCAGCAGCAATAGCAACCAGCAGCAAGGGTGAGTGTCCTGGATCCGAGGCCGACGGGTGCGCCCGTCCACCGGCCGGGCAGCACGAGCGCGGCAAGCAAGGTCTTCGGACGTGCCAATTTTCGCGCCGTCAGCTGGACGTGCGCGGAGCGAGCTCTTGCCCTTCTCTCCCTGTGCATTTCGTAGCCCCGCTCGGCTTCGTCTGGGCCCAGCGCCACCCGCCTCGCTGCTGCGCGGTAGCATGAGCCGCAGCGCCACCCCCGCACTGCAGCACGGTTCTCAGAGCATCTATCGTGCTTCTGCAGTCGTCGAGCTCGTCGAGGCGGCCCAAAGCTGAACACCCGCATGCCTGCCTGCCTGTCCGTCTCCTTACCTGCCTGAACCCTTGCCTCCAGCTTGACCGCGACAAGCTGCTCGAGAAGGGCGCTCCGTCCACCACCCCCTCATCCCCAGGAACGAGGGTCGCCGCTCCCCCCCACCTCTCACGGCCGCAACCACCAACAATCCTCTCTTCGGCCTCTGCGACGGGCGCACAAAGGACGGCCGCCAACACAATATCGAACACCCCCTAGAAGCTGCTGCTGCAAACGCCGACGCCGAAACACCATGACGGCTCAGGTCCACGCCGGGCCCAGTGCGCTGCACAGCTTCCCCTCTTCCTCCTTCTCCTCGGCCGCAACGTCGCCAGCGGCCACGCCCTCGTCGGAACGCGAGTTCGTCTTCGACAACCTGGCCGGCCTGTCGGCGTCCAGCCGCTTCGACATCAAGGGCAAGACGACGGCAACCGCGACAGCGACCGCGTCGGCGACCGCATCTTCGTCATCGTCTCCACTGCCATCGCCAGCACCGACGAGGTCACCACCAACGTCGTTGGCTGTACTGTCGCCGGCGAGCGCAGGGCCCAGCTCCCCGCCCCTCTCTGCATCGTCGGGCGCGCGGCCGCCGCTGCTGAAGCGGGGCGACTCTGCGCAGCGGCAAAGCAAGCACGAGCGGTCTACCGACGGCGGCCACCAGCAGCAGAGCACGACAAAGACCCACCGGCCTCGGCTCAAGAGCCTGCAGAGCCTCAACGCCGGCCCCGCATCGCCCTCGCTGTCAGAGCATCACAGCGGCAACGCGCACCTGCTCACGAGCCCCTCTGCCTTTTCGCGCTCGGGCCAGTCGACGGGTGGCGGTGCCATCGAGCGACTGCAGCCGCTCGCCTCGGCCGGCGCCTCTGCCTCTGCATCCTCGGCGCAGCGATCCGAAACGGCGGCCAAGGCGGCGGCAGCCAAGTCGTCCGGGTCCAAGCCGGCGGCAGAAGGTGGGCCACTGGCGTCCAGCGGCGCCTCCCTATCGCCCCGGTCGGCTGCCGCTCCCTGGTCGATGCGGAACGAGAACGAGTACACCGAGTTTGGCTCTCTCGCCTCGGGCTCGGCGACCAGGTCGAGCCTCGAGACGGACCGAGCGACGACGGCGGCGGCGGCAAGGGCGCGCACGCAGTCGGCCCACGCGCTGGCCGGTCCGGGCCTCAAGCGGAGCAACACGGTGAGCGTCGGCTTCGAGTCGCTCAGCTCCATGGATGCCGGCGCCTCGAGCAGCAGCACGAACCGGCAGGGCAACAGCTCGACGTTTGGGTTCGCGTCGGCGTCGGCGGCGGCAGGCCGGTCCCGCCACGGCCCGGGCCTCGGCGCGCGGCGGCAGACGGTGTCCAACATCCACGCCAACAACGACTTTGACCACCTGCTGTCGAGCCAAGGCAGGACGATGGCCTACTCGCGCCAGCCGCAACAGCACGGGCACCACGCGTCGACGTCGTCGGTGCTGACGTCGCCGCAGTCGCACCACCAGGTCCGGGAGCGTCCGGCGCTGCAGGGCAACCAGCTCGAGGCCAAGGTCGTCATCCTCGGCACCCAGGGCGTGGGCAAGACGTCGCTGGTGCACCGCTACACGTCGGGTCAGTTTAGCGCGTCGTCGATCCCGTCGACGATCGGCGCCAGCTTCCTGACCAAGAAGCTCATCGTCGACGGCGTCAAGGTGCGGCTGCAGCTGTGGGACACGGCGGGCCAGGAGCGCTTCCGCAGCATGGCGCCCATGTACTACCGCGGCAGCAACGCGGCCGTCATCGTCTACGACATCACGTCGATGCAGAGCTTCCTCGACGTCAAGTCGTGGATCGAGGAGCTGCGGCGCAACATGGCGTCCGACCTCGTCATCCACATTGTCGGCGCCAAGCTCGACCTGGCCTACTCGAAGCGCGACGTGGCGCTCGACTTTGCGCGGGCGACGGTGCGCTCGTGGGTCAAGCCGGCGTCGCCGACACCGCCCGACTCGCCGGATCTGTCGCAGTCGCTGTCGCCGTCCAAGGCCACGTCGCGCCTGGGCGGGCTGGGCAACCTGGCCATCGGCTCGGCCTCGCGGCTCGCGTCGTTCCCGCGCGGCGGGCAGCAACAGAGCCCGTCGGGAGCGGGCGGCCACAGTCACGGCCACGGCGCCGTCGCCAAGCCCGGCAGCGCCGGCAGCTCGGCCGGATCGGCTGGCAGCGATCTGGGCCAGGACGCTTTCTCCGATGGCGGGCCGTTTTCGGGCGGCGCGGACTCGTCTGGCTTCCCGACGTGGGAGCAGATTGAGGTGTCGGAGGTGTCGGCCAAGGACGACGAAGGCATCGAAGACGTTTTCCTGGCCGTGACCAAGAAGCTCGTGGAGCGCAAGGCCGTCATTGAGCAGGAGAGGCTGGCCCGCGAGCGCAACAGCATCATCCTCTCCGAGTCCAGCTGGGACCATGCCGGCGGCGGCCCCAACGAGCGCGGTGCGGGCGCGCCAGGCGAGGCCAACTGGAGCTGCTGCACCTGAGCCGCGTCTCGGAGTTTCATCTCGTCGCCGTCACCGCGACCATCACCACCACTGCCGCCCCTGCGAGCTCCGTGCACGACTGCGCCCACCAGCCCGCCAGTGTTTGGCCTGCCTCGACGGACTGGGCAGGAGAGCGTCCGGGGTCTCCGGCGCCTTGCTGCTGGACCAGCAAGAGCTCTCTTGGCCCTGGCCTCGCCCGGTGTCACACCCCGTTCCACGACCTCTTCACGACGACGACAGCCGACTGAGCCGGGCAGCATCACTCACGAACCCAGCTCTCGCCGGCCCCCTATTCCCCATCGCCCTCTGTGCAACTGCATCGCCGCGCCACCCACCAGTCTCTTTGTCGTTCACCGCCCTGCACGTTTCGCTGCCGTGTCCATAGCCGCCCACTCCGCCCCTTTCTCTGCCCGGTAATCCCCTCGCCTCTTGTTTATCTCTTCCCTTCGCCTTCTCGCCATGTCCCTTGCGCCCTCGTGTTCTTCGCTCTTGATCATCATTACCAGTCTCCCCTTCCTCCTCGTCCTCGCCGCCGTCCCCCTCCTGTTGCCTGCACGATGCCCTGTCCTGTCCCCTCTCAGTCTCTGGTCGCGCCACAAGTCCCTCTTGCGCCCTGCCGCCTTTCAATTGATACCGCCACCGCCGCCGCCCTGCCTTGGCCATGCCTGCCATGCCTGCTGCTAGGGTCGATGGATCTGCACCGTGGCAGCGCGTCGTGACGGCGCCGTGGGCATGCTGTCGAGGTGCAGTCAGTCGTCGCATGTGGTGCTGTGCGGGGGGCCGACCTGAGCCCGACACTCTGTCACCCGCGTGGCTGGCTGGCTGGCTGACGCGGGCCGCCGCCGAGGTGAAGTTTGGGCCGCGAGGAATTTCGCGCGGCGTGGGGGCGCCAGGCAGGCGGCCAGGCCAGGCCAGCCGGGTTTTTGGGCGTGCAGGCCCCGGCTGGCCCTTCGCGACGGGCGCCGGCAGGGTGCCCTTCTGGCGCGGCCTGGCCCAGGTGCCTGCTGCTGCACGCCGGCCTGGGCGCTCCTGGTTGCTGGGTGCAGCCGCCACCTCGATCTGATTGACCCTCCTGACCACCACCACCATCATCCACATCGCATCGCATCGCAACGCGTCGTAATCGACCGGCCGGGCGTGGACCGCAAAGCTTGGAGCATCCCCATGGACCATACCTCCTCGCTGCCATGCGACGCTCCACCACCACCACCACCACCACCACGACCCACGTCCCGCCCCCTTTCTTCGTCGACGCATCCACACCGACATGCTGAGGCCGCCGCCGCTGCGACCGCCTCCACTTTGCATCCGCCCTTGCGCAACGCCGCTTCCCCTTCAACGCTGATGCACGACAATATCGCCCCCTCCCACTCGGCAAGTCCGCCATCCGTGACGATGCAGGGCGCTGGGGCCACCACCGCTGGGCATCCGGCATCGACACCATCGTCGTCCTCAGAAGCAGCAGCACCGCCACCACCATCACCACCACGGCCATCGCCACCACCGCCGGGACAGGCACCTACATCGCAGTCCTCGTCGCCGCACACGGCCCGTGCCCCCATCGCTCCCGTATCGAGCGGCACGTCACCGACAATGGCCGGTGCTGCCCGCGCGTCCGCACCATCCACACCGCCTCGGCCCTTGGCCCCGTCACTGCCGCCGTCCGCCCCACCCGCCAAGGTGTCGACCGCCAGCGCATCGCCGACGACGTCCGCATCCGCCCCCGCCCCCGTCCCCGCCCCTGCCGCACCTCTTCCCAGATCGCCGAGTCCGGGCCACGAGAACCTCGATGCCGTCGCCACCACCTCGGCCTACACGCTCGACTCCGCTCCTCCCGCACCTTTGTCGGCGCCGCCTCGCTCGCCGCACAGCCACGTCAAGCTCGAAGGCGCTCAGCAGCACAGCACCGACGCCGGCATCCTGCACGACCTCCTCACCACCGTAGATGCTGCCACGACAACGGGCTCGGCCATCCACGCTTCGCCTTCTCAAGGCGACCCGCCATCGACGACGTCGGGGAGCGGCCAGGGCGTCGGCAGCGTCGCTGCGACAGGCGGGCTAAACGAGGAGGATGCCAAGCTACTCGCCTCCTTGGCCGACGGCAACGGCATCTTTAACCAGTTCCCGGACCTCTCATCGCATCCTCCTGCCGCCACCGACACCGGCGGCTTCTATCCGCACATCAAGGACGAGGCCATGTCGGCCGACCTTTCCCTAATACCGGGCCTTGACTCGGCCGCATTCGCTGGCGCCGTCGACCTCAACGAGGAGCTTGTCGGCGACTTTGCCGACTGGCACCACGACTTCGAAGGCCTCGAGCCCGAGGGCGAGGAAGGCGAGGAGATGGACGAGGAGGACGGGGAGGTCGACGACGATGACGACGACGAAGACGACGACGACCAGGGGCCGATCCAGGCCTACGCCAAGCTCGAGTTTCCTGGCTTCTCGTACTACATCCAGACGCTCGACGTCTCCATCGGGCGGCGGCCAGGCCAGCTGCTCCCAGATGCCCGGGATCTCACGCGGGGCCCGCCTCAACTGCCCACGGCGGCCTCTGGCAGCTCCCAGGCCCATATCACGTCCGAGTCGCAGGCGGCGGGCGACGTCGACGTCGACCTCGGGCCGCTCAAGTCGATCTCGCGCCTCCACGCCCGCATCATGTACTACGCCGGCCCGCTGCACCAGCTCTCGGGCCAGGTCATGATGGCCGGAACCCCGAGCCGGGCCAGCCCGGGCGCCCTGCGGCAGAATGGCTCCCAGTACCGTTACGCCTCGCCCTCAACCCTGGCGCGGGTCCACGGCGGCGGCGACGGGCGCGGCCTGTACGGCGAGGCCGCCGCCGAGGAGCACGAGATGGGCACGGGCCAATTTGTCCTCTCCGTCGTCGGGCGCAACGGCGCCTTTGTCGACGATGTCTGGGTTGACAAGGGAGGGCTAGTCGTCCTTGGCAAGAGGTGAGTGACCCGCGGGCGGCCAGGCGGCTGGCCTTGTGAGCAGGCTGCGATGGACTGCGCAGCTGCAGCCTCGAGTCTAAGCTCTGATCTGGCACGCTGACGACCCTTTCGCTTCCACCTCGACCGATTTGCGTCGACGCCGTCAGGACCAAGATCCAGATCGCCGAGCGGGTCTTCTACTTTGTGCTCCCTCCGCCGCCAGGCTCCGCCGAGGCCGAGCCGACGAGCGCGCTGCAGCGCATCTTTGACTCTGACTCCGAGTCGCTCTCCGACCTCGACTCGGATGATGGCGACGACGACGATGACGACGACGACGACGCCGAGAGCGACTCTGCCAGCGAGGGCCGTGCCAGGGCCGATGGCGATGGCCGTGCATCCGGCGCCGAAGAGTCTTCGGAGCTGTCCGACATCAGCGACGGCGACGGCGACGAGTACCGCGAGGCCTCGTCGAAACCGCGGAGACCCTCGATGAAGGCCGGCGATCCCGCACCGGCTGCGGCGGGGACCGGAGCGCCCGCCAAGCGGAAGCTGGTCCTCAAGTCCAAGGCCAAGATGGCGGCTGAGGCGGAAGCGGACGCTGCGCGGGCACAGGCCGTCGGAGCGCCGGTTCGGTCGCCCAAGGCCGAGGCACCGACGGTGGCATCGTCGAAACCTGCCGACGCCGTCGCCGGCAACGTTACCAGCGGCACCGGCAGCAACAACAGGGGCCGAGGCAAGGGCAAGGGGGCGGCGGTGCGAGGCAAGATGCCCATAAAGATGCCGCTGCCGGAGATGATGGACGTCGACATGGAGTACAGCGACAGCCTTGGCGGGTCGTCGGACGAGGACGTGGCCCTGGCCGACGTCTCGAGACAGGAGCGGCTCAAGCAGGAGGCGGAAAGGACGGCCGAGGCGGCCAAGCCACCAGCAGCGCCAGCTGGAAAGCGGCCGACGAAGGGATCTAAGGGCGGGAAGATGGGCAAGGCCCTCAGCGGCGGCAAAGGCGGCGCTGGAAAGGGCGCTGGCAAGGGCGGCAAGGGCGCTGGAAAGGGCGCTGGCAAGGGCGGCAAGGGCTACCAGCGCAGCGCCGAGAGCGTGTCGCCGAGCAAGAAGGACTCGCCCGTGCCGAGCTGGGCCATGGGCGCCGGCATCGCGGGGCGCAAGAGGAAGCGCGGCGAGGGCGTGCCGGACGACGAGCCGGCGCTCAAGGTGGGCACGCCGATTGGCGTCGAGGCGCTCGAAGCGCAGAAACGGGCCAAGGCGGCCAAGGCCAGAGCAGCCTCGCCGACCAAGCCGCTCTCATCCGCAGCGGCAGCCGCGGCGTTCGGCGGCGACGCTGCCGTCCCTGCAGCATCGAGCAGCCCGACAATACCTGCGGTCACCCACAAGACGGATGGCGACGGCGGCGGCGATATTGTCATGGTGGATGCAGCCGCTCCCGCCAGCGCCGCCAAGACGACGCAGAGCCCAGCAGCCTCTACCGCGGCTGCGGGCGCGGCCGTCGCCTCCGCGCCCAAAGCAGCAGGCGCTGCCAAGTCATCCACGAAGAAGAAGAAGGACCAGGCGGCCGCCTCTGCTGCCCTCTCGGGATCCGCACAACCGCCGTCCACGACAGCCGCACCGCTGCCTGGCAACGCGGCCGCTCTACCGGGCAAGGCAGGCGCGGGCGCATCCGCTTCGTCGTCCTCGCCGTCTAAGAAGGCGGCGGCAGCCGGCGCAAAAGCGACCGGCACCTCGGCATCGGCGGCACCAGCATCGACGTCGGCCCCAGCGCCAGCACCAGCATCGACGATGGCGTCCCAGACGGCGCCGGCGCAGCCATCCGCCGTCTTCGACTCGAATTCGGCGGCTTCTGCTATCATCGCTGCGGCCAACGCGCTCAGCCGGGGCAATGCACCACCGCCGCCCGCGGCCGCTGCGGCACCTGGATCTACGGCCGCGGCGACGGCAACGCCAGCGCCAGCCCCTGCGGCGCCCGTTAGAGCGCGT